AATGTATACAATACACTAGTACCAGCTCCACGGCAGCCATTATCGTCATAATTTTCTAATGATAGATTGTGATCAAGGGTAATATGTACAACACACAAAGGGAGATAGATTGAGTTGCTGCATCAGTGTGAAAGTTTTTCTGATTTAAATCAATGTTGATCAGTGGAATGAAGTAGTGAGTAAAGCGGATATTGTTGGTGATTGGAGAGAGAAATTGTGATGGGAGGTTGAAAACGGGCTTCTTTCTCGATGAAAGTTATAAAAAGTCTCTGTGCCATCTGTAATTGATATTTTACTACATATACTTAACAGGCAAGGAAGAAAAAGACTTTGATACTTCTAGGTATTTTCATTAATACTTTGATACTTCTAGGTCTTTTCATTAAAGGATCACTATAGGATCAGGAACACAAACATCTATTCCTCACCCTATAATGTTAAAACCACCATCTAGCCCCCCTGGGCCCCTCATGCCTCCATAAATATAGAAAATCTTACTGTATTCAAGCCAGAAGCTGTAGATCTGCATGCTGTTTGCCTAAAAAAAAAAAACAAGCAGTCTGCTGACATCATGAGAAGTGGTAGCCTGATCCAATCACAGTGCTTCCCCATAGGATTGGCTGAGACTGATAAAGAGGCAGATCAGCGTCAGAGCCAGCACAATTCAAACACAGCCCTGGCCAATCAGCATCTCCTCATAGATATGAATTGAATCAATGAATCTCTATGAGGAAAGTTCAGTGTCTGCATGCAGAGGGAGGAGACACTGAATGTTTGGATGCATTTTAGGCAGCCATGACCCAGGAAGGATCTCTAACAGCTATCTGAGGAGTGGCCAGTGAAGTTAGTAATGTAAACACTGCATTTTCTCTGAAAAGACAGTGTTTACAGCAAAAAGCAAGAAGGTAATGATTCTACTCACCAGAACAAATGCAATAAGCTGTAGTTGTTCTGGTGACTATAGTGTCCCTTTAAAGAAAGCTACATATGTAAATTAATATAAAATATTTAATAATTATATTACATATATCAAACTTTGGGTGCACTGATATTTATTTACTTACATATGCATGTTTATACATGTGTATTTTCTTGTTTGCATAATGGAGGAAGTCACTAAGGCTTATAGTACAATCAACTACAATATTTATAAAATACATTATATATAATATTGTAGCTGTAACTTTGGTATTCAATAGGTGGAAGCCTAAACATAGAGTAACATTATGTCTTCTCTTGTCTCAGCATGAAAATTAGGGCATGTCCAAGACAAGCACTATTTTTCCAATTATCAAAGATCAACTGATATGTTGTGTCCTGCTTAATGAGCTAGACTTGAATTTTAAAGGAAGAGGCAGTTTCTCTGTGTCCCTCACCTATATTTATCAGCTTAATGTAAAAAATGAGTAATTAAGAAAAAAATACTGTCAACCAAAACATACTTCATAGCTGCAGGAACTCAAACAGTACTTTTAGGCATGTCCAAGGAACTTGGATTTTAAATTGTGTTTCTTTTATCATCTTCTCCAAGACAGTGCAGAAGCTTGGCTACCAGGATTCTGTTCTGCTCACAAGTAATGGATGCCCATAGGTAACTAAGCTGATTCCTGTCATTACTGAATACACACAAATACCCACAAATGTGCAATGATAAGTGCATAGACATAGTAGTTAGATTAGCCTCCAACAGGTGGTTTATTAAAGAAGTTAAATCTCATAAGGTTCATGAGAAGCAAGAAAAAGAACAGTGTTTGGATTCAAAACCCATTGGAGAGTAAAACAAGTTATGTTTTGATTCACTGATTATATAATATGAACTGTGGGGTTGATACTCCTTGTTTTACTCACTTTAGTGGTTATGGTGTCAGGAGCGTAATGTGCCCCCATTTTAAGTAGTTGGCTTCTTACCTAGGATCCACTTGGCACCGATGACTGCCTCCACTACTGACGATGGAGAGCCAGAAGCTTCTAAGTACGAAATTCAGCTAACTCTCCTAAACTAAACCCTGTAATGCAAGATTAGCTCATTCACTGACATAGTTTGGCTATTTGCAATGAGGCGCGTCATTTCACTCCTGGCACAATAACTACTACAGCAAGCTGTTCCTGTAAAAATTGAGCTACATTCACTTTTAGCAATGTGTTCCAGTAAACGAATAAGCATATCATTTTCAACTGTGATACATTAGATAATATACAATCTATTCCTATATATTCAAATATTAGTCCATTCATTTTATCCCAATAATTATTTTTATTGTGCCATAAAAACATTTATGATTATTATTACACTTTCTTCTGATAATTTCTCCCTGTATCTTCCAATTGCTGTAAATAAATTTACACCACCTAGCATAGTGAATTTACTAATAGTTCTTCCACCAATCGCAACCTGCTTACAGGATTTTGGATGGTTTGAGTTAATTCAGTTCAAGAAGAACTTTCAGTGCAGTAAAGGTGTAGTGGAACAAATATGTATCGATATAGTGATCCATTTTTTGTCTTTCATATTTATCTAGTTACCATGCAGGATAGAGTATCACAATTCTAGGATTCTAAACTAGTAGTTAAAGATAATCGTACATTTACTGGTAAGACTAACAGTAGCCATAATCACCTAAGTGACTAGAAAATACCTAGGTTTAAAATAACAAGGGCTTGGGCTAAAATTGGCAAATTAAAAACTCATTGATAATGTGAGATAGTGATACAGTGACTAATGCTTCTCTTTTTTTTGTCTTCTCCTTACCCATGGAGGAGTGAGCAGTTCTGCCTTGGAATCAATACTCTGTGATTGAGTGAATTTATCCATTTAGATTATTTTAGTTTAAGACTAAGGAGTGACACCTTCTCTCTGAATTTCTTTAGAAAATGATAAGTTCAGATTGAATCCATCTCACAAATGATGACTTTTTACTAAACCTTTTAGCGAGCCTCATGTGTTCATAGGGCCCAGAAACCCGTCATAGCAAGATTACTGGTATCAGTTTCTAGAATATAAAATGAAACATTATGCTAGCCTACTATGTGCCTTATATAGCTAAAAAGCTATTTAACGCATTTAATTGTTTCTTATCTTTTTGAGCTTTACCATACTACTATCACACTGTTATTCACACTACACCTATGGAGGGCTAAATGCTGCAAACTGTGGATCCACCATGAAGTAACATGGCAGTATTTCCAAACGCCATGCCTATACCCATATATTAAGAATTTTGGAATGCTGTTCACGTCATTGTGTGCATGGCCACACAGTTCATTAAAGTACCCCATGTTGGATAAGAAGTCATCAATCATCAGATAAGCTTTATGTTTTGACATGCATTTATTTAAGGATTTTTCCAGATCAGTGTATTGGCTTTAGGCAGGGCTCAAAATTTCAAGTCCTACAATACTAGTCAGTCCTAAATGTTATTCACCACTGCAAGCCTGGACGGTCAGTGGCATACTCTGAAGGGGTGAATTTCCACCTGCCAACATGCAGTGTGTAAATGGAAATTTTGAGCACTTTCAGATATGCCTGCCTGTGGTTAAAAAGGAATAGGGGAAAAGGTTGTGCCAAAGCAATATTAATCTACTATGTTTGAGCAACACAGAAAGCTATTACAACAGGCTATAATAAATATATGAATAAAAATTATTCCTATTTCAAAAACAGTAGGTAGTATTAAAAGAGTCCAGTGTAGAGACTTGCCAGAAGAAATGGCTATTGGTTTTTCAGAGAAGTATTCTTCCGCCAGAAGGTCAGAAGAAATCTTGAAATCTGCATATAAAAACAAAGAGAGACTAATAGTGTAATATATCCCAGAATTTGGCATATAGTAAAAAAGTCTACATGGTCCTACTCACGTTTTTTAGAGCTTAGACCAGCTCTAGTATTGATAGCGTACAGTGGTACAATCCCCACCTATAGGATATGTGAGACGTTGGTAGTTGTTTCAATGCTGTGAAGACCATAAAACGATAAAAGGAACAATAATAGTGCTCACTTTTTAAAACGTCCAGGAGTACAAAAATATATGAATTAGTTCTCACATTTGATTAAGCAGGCGAACTGCTCAATGGATAGCGCTTGAGTGGTATAATCCCCACCTAGGATTCTTTGAGTAGTCCTCACTGGAACAGAATAAAAATGGATGCCAGGCAGTAGAGACATAAAAATATAAAATAATAATAAAAGAGTAAAATGTTACACTTACTGTATAAAAGTAGCCAAAATACCTTTATTAACAATATCTAAAAATATCCACAACGCGTTTCACCTTTTAGGCTTTATCAAGTTGCTTACACATAGTAGATTAATATTGCTTTGGTGCAACCTTTCCCCCTATCCCTTTTTTACTATTGTCCTTGCTGTGTAGGGCTAAGAGGGAGCCCTACATTTTAAGGTATGCTGCCTACTTGTCTAAATATCTCTTACTTTATTTGGTTTGGTTTAATAGCGCTGATCTTTTTGTCTGTGTCTTCATACCTGACTGTGGAACCGCTCACCTAAAAATCATGCAGATAGCATGTTCACTGCATCCTGCAACAGTCCTACGGTTCTTAGTGCACAAGAAGATCTATGCTTTCACCCCCACCACACACACTCACGCATAAATAAACATTCCTGTGTCTGTCTTGAAATACTCACACTGAGAGCATCTCTGTCTGCATCTACACCCTATGCTGTATCCAGGAGAACCCAATGATGTCCTAGCAGATACAGTTCAGCCTTTCTGTGAGCAATACCATTGCAGGTAATCCTGCATTAACAAAACTAACAGACTCCTGTGAGTGGGCCTAAACTCCTGCTGATGCAGTGTAAGACTTATCCGCCATGAGGAGATCCAGACAGTAAAACCTGCTACATAATCTAGTGTGAAACTCGTTCCATTATTCCACATATTTCCTCGCAGTAACACCTCCCGATAATCCATATAATCTCTTCCTATGTTATCCTACAGATCCTATTATAATACTATTATTATATTACTGTTATTATAAAACAAGTATGTCCCGTCTAGGCCTTTACGATCTGCTGAAGACTTACGTCTATCTTCTGTCCGTACTCCCACCTCTGATGCTCGCCTTCAAGACTCTCAAGGGCTGCACCGTTCCTATGGAACTCACTTCCCTCCTCCGTTAGATGCTCACCCAGTCTCAACTCCTTCAAAAATCATTAAAAACCCACTTCTTCATAAAAGCGTATCAATTAAACTGTTAATAGCTCCTGACTAATTCCTCTCTTGCAACTTTCATTAGTCTAAAATTATCCTTACCTTTGTGTCACTTTACCCCACTCCCTCTAGCAAGTAAGCTAATTGAGCAGGGCCCTCAACCCCTCTGTTCCTGTGTGTCCAACTTGTCTGGTTATAACTACATGTCTGTTCGTCTACCCATTGTAAAGCGCTGTAGAATTTGATGGCGCTATATAAATAATAACATAATAATAATAATAATAATTATTATTATTATTATCATTATGTTTATTTATAAAGCACTGTTTATATACCCACCCTGTTGCTTGGTATACAAAACCATGCTTTTTTTAACATAAGTAAACAGTTCTTTTCCCAGTGAAGGCAAGTTAAACAATGATTCAAACAGGCCAGTAGATTGTAGCACCTCACACATTTTGGGTTAAGTTTTTCCAGCTGTAAAAAAAAAGTACATTTTGTTCAATGTGTGGACTGCAATGTATTGTCCAAACAAAAACACTGCTCTAAATTTCTTATATGCTTGTATGTAATCGGTCTATCATTTTACATGTATCTCTTACAGCATTTTAGATATTAAGAAGAAAGGGGCTAGGGGATAGAGTAAAACGACGAACGCAGCAGGCACTGCCAGACTAACTATTATGTTACATTCTGATTTTGAAAAGACATTGGTAGAGATGACAGGAGGTAGAAATGACTGAAGGCATGAACAATACGTCGTTAAATAAATTGTTACCATTCTGGCCATCCTTTTATTACACCTTTTCATTGTGTATATTGTTTTCATGCTGTTCTACTGCCCTCCAGGGGACATTTATTGTAAATGCATTTCCTATATATCAAAGTGTGTATTTGTATTGTATTATATGTACTCTAAAGGTTTATAGAACACACCTTATTACCATATGAGTATCCCCACTGAGCCTACCTAAGATTGCAAAGATTTGTGGAAGTGAGACAGACATGCAATAGTAATGAAATTAATGAAAGCACAGGAAGATAGGCATCTTAAATTAAATACTTCACTTGGTATGGAAACAGAGAAGAATGTTTCAGCATTAACCTTGCATCCCAAATGTATTACTGTTTACCAAAATAAAAAGCATACAAATATATGTAGATCAGACATAAAAACTCAATTTCTCTCCCAAATCAACCCCAATCAAATTTATGGCTCAACAAATTACATACATGTCTTAGAGAAAGGGGGAAATGGCTTTTTAATAGCACCACTCTGCCTCCTTACTAGCCTGAGACGAAGTGAGAGGCGGTCACTTCCTCCAAGCTACATAGAAATTACCACGTGGGAGTGAAAACACTACAGGAGGGGGGAGAGCAAGGAGAGACAGCTCCAGCCTAATATTCCCACCAGTCTCAGACACTGCAGCCACCCTCATGCACATAAAAAGGTCTGTTACAGCTGTGTGGCTTAAAAAATAACAATTATGACATGTATGTATTAATGCCTATGTCAGTACATTTATCTATGTATGTGTCAGTTTGTGTATCTGTGTGTCAGTGTGTGTTTATACAGGGCGGCACTACCAAAAGGTGGCACAGGCGCTGCCTTAGGCACACCTGTCCATGGGGGCACAAGATCCTGCCAGCGTTCCCCTCCTGCTAGTCACAGCATGTATGTGGCTGAGACATGGATTGCTTAGAGGAGCTTCTGTATCATCTACCCAGTGTGAAAGGAATTGCTCATAAAGAGCGCCAAACAACTTCCTGTGAGACCGGATAGATGATACAGGGCTTCAACTACGGCAGCTCGGCCACAATACTAGAGAGAGGTGAGCTGTCACAGGGGTGAATGTGGGGGAGAGACCACAAGGGGAGTTGGGGTGACAAAAGAGACAGTGGCTTGGGGGAACAAAAGAGACAGACAGAGGCAGGGGAACAAAAGAGTCAGAGGGGGCAGGAAGGCAAAAGAGACAGACAGGGGCTGGGGGAGGCAAAAGAGAGAGACAGAGGCTGGAGAGGGGAGAAAGAGACACACAAAACGGGTTGGGGGAGAAAGATACATACAGAGAGGTTGGGGGGACAATAAAGAGACACAGAGAGATCGGGTTAGGGTCACAAGATACAGAGGTGCTGGGAAGACAAAGAGACAGAGGGGCTGAGAGTACAAAGAGACACAGAGGGGCTAGAGAGGGTTAAGAAATTCAAGAGGATAATTAAGAGACATGTAAAGATGCATTTTTGGGGGTGCATCTTTGCCTGTGTAGCAAAATATCCTTGCACCTGCCATGTGTTTATGTCAGTGTTTCTATATGTTTGGGGGTCAATGTGTTTGTGCATCAGTGTGTGTATCTGTGGGTGTGTCAATGTATCTGTGTGTATCTATGTATGTGTCAGTGTGTGAGTGTGCATGTGCCAGTGTGTGTATCTATATGAGTAGCATTGTGTTCATATGTGCGTATCTGTGTGTGTGTGTGTGTGTGTGTGTGTGTATGCATGTGTCTGTCACGTATTCATCTGCACATAAAAATGTGGTTAATGGCATTTACTTTCCTGACAGGAAAAGTTGTGCTGAGCAGCAAAACTACATACAAGCAAACCTCTGCATTGAAGTGCAAGCATTACATAAAAGTATACCACTGCATTCCAATGGAAACAGTACATGCAAATACACCCCTATATGGGCACACACATACTCCATACAAAAACTTGATTACATTAAAACGCACAAACACTGCTCACTAATACAACTCTGCAAGGATGGTCAAATGTTTAATCCCCACTTGCCATAGCATAGTGGGAGTGTCCGACACATGGGGGTCTACATGTTGTACTAGTCACCCTTGTATAAGAGGGGGCCCCCAAAAAATACTACATTAATTCCACCATGGCATGTTTCAGTTCATGGCACAAATGTCCTACAGAGTGACACACACTGACTTACATACATACAATACATACAATGACTCGTGTAGACTGACACACACACTGGCCCAAACAAACACACACACACACACTGACCAATGCAGACTCACCCACACACACTGACCCATGCAAACACATACACACTTACCCAAGCAGACACACACACACACATACACATACACACACACACACACTGACCCATGCAGACTCACACACACACACTGTCCCTAGCAGACACACATACTGTCCCTAGCAGACACACACACACAGACACTGTTCCTAGCACACACACACATTGTCTCTAACAGACACACACACACTGTCCCTAGCAGACACACACACACTGACCCAATAAGACACAAATATACTGACTGAAGCAGGCAGACACACATTCTTTAAAACACACACTATGAAGTTCCACTCTTACCTTAATTTCAAATTGACTTTCAGTGTGTCCCAAGCTGTGCTGCCTCTCTGTTAGCTCCGCCCCTGCTATCCTCCCACCCACTTGACCCCGAGTACAGGGCAAGGGGTGGGAGTAAATGAGCAATGCGCCCGTGCACTGCCGGCTTATTAGATGGGTGGGGGGCGGCTCTCTGTGGTCTTTGCATGCAGAGGTTGATGGCACTAGGCGCTAGACTGAAGCTATGCAAGTGCCCAGTGGTATGACCTTGCAATGCAGAATTAGTCCCTCATAGAGGGACAAGCATTAAATCTGCTGGTGGCACCCCCCTTTAAGCAGTGCCCCAGGCAGCCGCCTAGTTGGCCTTTAGTGAGCGCCGGCCCTGCTTAGACTTAGACTTGCACGTTGAAAAAATTCACCTTGGCTGAACCATTTTTTTTAAAATAGAAAACTTTTTCAGGACAAGAGAATTTCGCATGAATGTTGGTTCATTTGGCAGAATTTTGGAACCGAGAATCTGATTTTGGAAACAGAAACAAAAGAGAAAAAAGGATTCAAAATGGGTCAATCAGTGTGCTGCAAAGTGTATGCCTAATATAATATTCTGTATATATTTTGCAGTACATTGACAGAAGTACTTTCCCACCTTTTAGTTTACAGAAGAAGTGAAAAAGGTAACCAAAAAAAGAGGAAAAGACGTAGAAAAAACACAAGCACAACTCACAAAAAAATGATATCCTTGTTACCTTCACTCCAGGGTAAACACATTTCTCTGTCCGGTGCTGATCTGCAAATAACACAGATTGCTTTGAATGATAGCACATCAAGGACTTACTTAAGGGTTAAATGTAAAACTTAGCTTTTATTCATTTATATATATATATATATATATATATATATATATATATATATATATATATATATATATATATATATATATATATATATATATATATATAGGAATATATAAATATAGGAATATATATATATATATATATATATATTTTTTTTTTTTCTTTTTATTTACTTTTACCGCTCTGACATTTTTCTGCTCTCATCTGGACCTTATTTATAATATGCTAGCTAATGGACAATGTCAAGGGATCAAATAGTGGGAGATGATGTGCTAAAATCAAGAGCCGCTGTTAACGGTATGTCTGTCACCATTACCTACAAACAAAAGTAAGAGTTGCATTTGCAGTGAATATCCTGAATGGTCATGACAGAGTCCTATAGAAGCAATAAAAAGAGAAAAGTCATCACCCAGAGGGTGCCTCGTAAGTGACATGTCAGCATTCTAATGTACATAACATTGTCATGCATTAAGTGTACACATGCAACCTAAGTCAGACAAAATTGGGCACAACACTTCCGTAATGTCAGGGGCACTTCTGTATTGTAAGGCATACAATAACATAAGGGTCATCCCTATAAGTAATTCAGTATGACAGTAAAGGTTAGCTGCACATAACAAACTTCCTCAGTAGACTTTTGCAAAGCAACAAAAATGTTTTTTGAGTGAACTATTTAACCCCTTAACCAAACTTCTGGAATAAAAGGGAATCATGACATGTCACACATGTCATGTGTCCTTAAGGGGTTAATCCGAAAAAAAAAAAAATCAGCCTAATTTCAACCATATGGCCGTTCAGCTCATCTGAGTTCTGTTAATGAAATAAGATTGGGGAAACCAAAAGAGACAAGCCAAATGATGGAAAAATGGGTGGATTATTGTATTGCAAAATATATACATAATATAAAAAAGACTGGGATATGTTTCATTCTGACCAGCAATTTGGACACATTTGGGTTTATCAGTCAAATTCCCAAACAAAATAAAATGCGCAATGGGTGAGCAAGAGATATTTGATGTAAAAAAAGATGATTGATGGCTAGAGGACAGTCACTAAATGTTGATTTTATTAGCAGATCACGTAAGAAGAAAGCAAAAAGAGGAATCAATCTATCCAAAAGAGTGTATGCCATTCTTCTCCCATCTGGTGACAAGAGTGAGACCAGACAGGAATTCAACTTTGATCCTTTCTTGGCCCTCACTCAGTTGGGAGCCTAGATGATCTGTCTGGGAAAGTTCTCCATTGCCAGGTTTGTGAAGCTCTTGGCCAGAGCACTCTACAACCATATCATTTCACTTTGCAGTCCACAAAAAGGGACAAGACTTGGTACTGGAGATAGGACCAATTCACATTACCCCCTCGCCAACCCCCCTCCCACACCTTTACATGTTTTAACACTTTGAATGTGACTTGCAGGAGAAGTAAGCAGTGTGGAGTGCAAATGCAATAGTCTACTATTGCAATGTGACATTAGAATTTCTCAGTACAGATCTGGGACAACCTTCCCTGGTTACACTACTGGCTAGCAAATATTTTTTACAAAGTAACCCAAATCTTCATGACTGGATAGGTATGGGAATTTGTATTTTCCACATATGCATGACATTGATGAATAAAGGCATTTTTTTTTTAAATTCATGTCAATAATGTTTTTTTCCATCAATCATTCTTGTTTTTTGGTGCCAGGGATGGAACTCTGAATCATGAAAGAAATGAAATGGCTCATCCATTGTCCTTTTGTTTGCTTAGTGATTCATCCATATGCCTTTTCAGAATCACACTAGCTTATAGAAGTCTCTTGATAATTATGTAAATTATCATCCTGGAAAGTCTCAGTAGTTGCCAAACCCCAAGATGTTTAAGCTTTCCCATTAGACAAGCAGAGATTTACATCAGACAGAAAGTGAAGTATTTATCTAAAAGGAACCTTGTCTGATTACAGTAGGGGCATGTGAGAGTAATACAACCCCTATTGTACTAATACGTGGGTTATATAGACTCCTACAGTCACTTTTTAAATATTTGCTGCTAGTGATGCCAGCGGGCACATAGTTAACCCCTAATCCTGAAGCAACCGGTCATTGGGCATCTTGGTTGCTTCAAGATGAGTTCATGTTTCTGCTTCAGTGTTTCAGTAGAATTGCCAATCAGCCCAAATTCATCACAACCGCAATTTTTCTGATATGGATTCCTCAAGTCTAGCCTCCAATCTGAGCTTACAGAGAAGCCACTCACTTACACGTGTTACAGAGGTATGGAGTAACAGCTTTTAAAAATCCATTTAAAAGAACAGTACACACACATACAGTTGCAAGAAAAAGTATGTGAACCCTTTGGAATGATATGGATTTCTGCACAAATTGGTCATAAAATGTGATCTGATCATCATCTAAGTCACAACAATAAACAAAAACAAAGTCTACCTAAACTAATAACACACAAAGAATGAAATGTTGCCATGTTTTTATTCAACACACCATGTAAACATTCACAGTGCAGGTGGAAAAAGTATGTGAACCCTTGGATTTAATAACTGGTTGAACCTCCTTTGGCAGCAATAACTTCAACCAAACGTTTCCTGTAGTTGCAGATCAGACGTGCACAATGGTCAGGAGTAATTCTTGACCATTCCTCTTTACAGAACTGTTTCAGTTCAGCAATATTCTTGGGATGTCTGGTGTGAATCACTTTCTTGAGGTCATGCCACAGCATCTCAATCGGGTTGAGGTCAGGACTCTGACTTGGCCACTTCAGAAGGCGTATTTTCTTCTGTTTAAGCCATTCTGTTGTTGATTTACTTCTATGCTTTGGGTCATTGTCCTGTTGCAACACCCATCTTCTGTTGAGCTTCAGCTGGTAGACAGATGGTCTTAATGTCTCCTGCAAAATGTCTTGAAAAACTTGGGAATTCATTTTACCTTCGATGATAGCAATCCGTCCAGGCCCTGACGCAGCAAAGCAGCCCCAAGCCATGATGCCCCCACCACCATACTTTACAGTTGGGATGAGGTTTTGATGTTGGTGTGCTGTGCCCTTTTTTTGCCACACATAGTGTTGTGTGTTTCTTCCAAACAACTCAACTTTGGTTTCATCTGTCCACAGAACATTTTGCCAGAACTGCTGTGGAACATCCAGGTGCTCTTGTGCAAACTGTAAACGTGCAGCAATGTTTTGTTTGGACAGCAGTGGCTTCCTCTGTGGTATCCTCCCATGAAATCCATTCTTGTTAAGTGTTTTACGTATTGTAGATTTGCTAACAGGGATGTTAGCATTTGCCAGTGACTTTTGTAAGTCTTTAGCTGACACTCTAGGATTCTTCTTCACCTCACTGAGCAGTCTGCGCTGTGCTCTTGCAGTCATCTTTACCGGACGGCCACTCCTAGGGAGAGTAGTAGCAGTGCTGAACTTTCTCCATTTATAGACAATTTGTCTTACCGTGGACTGATGAACAGCAAGGCTTTTGGAAATACTTTTATAACCCTTTCCAGCTTTATGCAAGTCAACAATTCTTAATCGTAGGTCTTCTGAGAGCTCTTTTGTGCGAGGCATCATTCACATCAGGCAATGCTTCTTGTTAAAAGCAAACCCAGAACTGGTGTGTGTTTTTTATAGGGCAGGGCAGCTGTAACCAACACCTCCAATCTCATCTCATTGATTGAACTCCAGTTGGCTGACATCTCACTCCAATTAGCTCTTGGAGATGTCATTAGTCTAGGGGTTCACATACTTTTTCCACTTGCACTGTGAATGTTTACATGGTGTGTTCAATAAAAACATTGCAACATTTCATTCTTTGTGTGTTATTAGTTTAAGCAGACTGTGATTGTCTATTGTTGTGACTTAGATGATGATCAGATCACATTTTATGACCAATTTGTGCAGAAATCCAGATCATTCCAAAGGGTTCACATACTTTTTCTTGCAACTGTAAATACTGCTTTATATTTTACAAGACTACTTAAAATTACCTATCTCAGCAAACAAATATAGGGATTCAGTTACACCCACCACTACGTCACAGTACCCCAATATTGGTGGATCCTATTACACATTTTTACATGGGAGATTTGCATGCCAACTTCCAATACTTACTGCTTAAACTGCTTAGAGACTCCTCAATATATGCTCTCTTGTGGTCACCTCCAAAGGGGCACCCATAGTGGATGGGTGGGTTGATAAGCCCAATAGGAATCTGGTCTGGATTCCAAATCTACACAGAAAAACTGGGAATTGGTGGCACACCCAGAACATGTATTTCTAAGTAGTTGTGCTGTTGTAAAGACCAAAAACAACTCTTTTTTACTAGACTTTTCTAGACAATACAGTGAGTCAACGTTTCAATGTTACTAACACTCATAATTAACACTTAAACCACTGCCTTAAAGTAGCAGTGATTATGCAGCCTTAGCCACACCTCTCATGGTTATGATTCGCACAACCTCCTTACCCACTTGCTGAGAAAGAGGTTTAATTTATAAACTACCCTCATTGCACTGTGTGTTTAATTTAAAATGTATTTGCTCCTGCTCTGTTTATTACCTGCAATAATTTGTGTGTGATTAAAGTTCAATTAACAGAGCAAGTAAACCTTTTTTTCTCATGGAGGCTATGTGAGTTATAGCCAAGGGAGATGTAAATAGCGATGTATGAACACAGTCAACTCTGAAACAGCAACTCCTGTTAAATACCCTTTATATATATATATATATATATATATATATATATATATATATATATTACCTTTGTTGATTCTGTGAGTTATCCAAACTGGGTTGGGTGTTTTTCTCTACTTGGTTTTGTAACTGATGCACGCATCCTTGTTTAATTATTGCCCAGTTTTTTCAGAGCATCAGTGGCTGCAAACAAGCCATATCTATTTCCTTATGTCCTGTTCCCATGTGCAACATGGTATTTGAAATCATGATCTATGTTTATTACATGATCCACTCATTATTTCAACAGGCAATTCATGTTATTAAATCTAGTATTGCACAGTGTGAAAAAGAAAATGGTTGTTAATTTTATGACAAGACAGGAGGCTTCATATTTGCTTATCTTTCTTTACTGTAACTCCCAGCAGCAAAGAAACAGTTAACAATTAGTGTAAAAAGTTTAACCAATCAGCATGCATCACAGTAATATAAACTGCCATCAGGCTCCTCCCAATTCCTCTTTCTTTGCTGCTTAGCCTGAATTTAGCTGACTATTATCACTTTAATATCATTTGAATAAATTACATATATTTTCTGTTCCTTTAATTTTCTTTATGTGCAATGGATGCTCCTTTTATTAACAACTGTTAAGTGGGCTGACATGCTAGTCATCCCACAACTTCAGATTACTTCATACTTCTTTCAATTTTATTATATTGTGCTCTGTCAGTTTAAATTTAGAGCACTGATGGTTTTGCCACGGTTCCCGGCATCTTGCCTGTCCGTTCTGCCGCTCAGTTCTTTGTACACAATTTGTGTTGCCCTGATGTCTCCATAGAGACGCGTCCCGCCTTTACTCCTATGTCGCGGCCATTTCTCTTACCTTTTCCCAGGCTTTTGACTCAGCGCCATCTTGTGGAAGGTTTCTGTGCAGCGGTTTCGTTTCTGCTCTTCACTGCAAACGCGACCCAGCTGTTCACGGTTCAGGATTCTCACGGTTCAGAACGCGACAAAGCTCCTTGCAAATGCCCTTGGAAGGGCGATGGTGCTACCGCTGGTAAAGGCAAAGCGCCTGCCAAACACCCTAGAGTGTCCTATTCTAAACCCAGGGAGGTTGTCTACCAATGATTTTGACCCACTTGAGGGATCAACCTCTAATTATAATCTTCAGGTGGTAGATGAATACTACGCAGAACATTCGGATAATGATGCTCCACCTCATAAGACATCCCGAGACCTTTACCCCTCTGATTTTGCAAATAATGAGCCCTCCCTCATACCTCAAGAGGAATTCCATTTGGAATCTGACCAAAAATCTAAAAAAAAACCTAACTTAAAAGATGATACCTTATTTGACACCTCTGGCCGCCCTTTATTTGACCCCAGATGCATCAGGCACCATAGATCTGCCGAATGGACACCCCCGAACCACATTGCTAAATCTGTCTGCCTTTAGAAAAAGAGGTGAGAGTCAAATTGAGGGCAGAATGCCCACGTCCCGTTATTCCGGACAAGGTGGCCAGTACACCTGAATTTGACCCCTTCCTTGTTACCTTTCTGACCAAGTCAGGGAAAGACCCCCGTAAGGGTCTAGAACAGGGTATGAAAGCCACTCAAGATAAGTTGAAGGATGTGGCAGGCCCGCTTATACAAATTTTCATTATAGCAGACAAGGCTTTATCACGTTTGATGCACATATGGTGCGAGAGTGGGCACAAAGGGCTTTATGCCTTTTAGGCAATGTCAATGTGGCGATATCGACAGAACGACGGAAGGCTGTCCTTTATAAAATCGATGCCAAGCTTGCCCAATTGGGCATTAAAGAACTTGGTCCAGAGGCTCAAGGCATGTTATTCGGAGACAAGAACAT